GTTCTGATTCAATTTGGAGAGATTAAATGGTCCTCCGATTTGATTCGGATTCAGAGATTCGGCCACTGAATTGGGCCGAATCTCCACCAAATTGAATCAGGAACTGAAGCTTAAGACAGCCCTACTAACTAGCATGCTCTAGCAGCTCAGTTAATTGAGTCTGCTCTGACGTGCTGCAATTACAGTGCATCAGAGTGGCCTCTCCATACATGTACAGGCATTCAGTAATAATGTTGGATGCCAGCAGGATGCTACAGATAAACATTTTTTTTCATACTTTTAAATCACTAAAAACCTTCAAAAAATGAAAAGAAATTAGGCTGTAGGTTGCCAATTAAACTAAACAGAAAAAAATGTTAGTAATGAAGATGCCCATACATTTCTTCCTGAGTTTCTAGAAACAGGTTACTTGCTTCATAGCCAAATAAAATTACACTTCATATCTGTTAGATGGGTAACAATATAGCAGTGATTCTCAACCCTGGGTTGCCACGAGGTCTTTTGAACATGGTGTCACAGGTATGAGGAGATAAGTGAGGTTTTAAGAGAGAAACTAAGTAGATGAGCACTGGCTCAGGCTTGTCCCTGCCTGGATGATCCTTCATTCCCCACTGCTGGACCCCTCTGAAAGGAGGCAAACACTGTATTGTATAAATTAGTGTTTTTATATTAGGTTCCACACAATTCACAAAAGTTAGGAAGGTGCATCTCAAGTTCAAAAAGATAGAGAACCACTTCAATACGGTAATGAGGTATAAGCACACACAACCCAGCAGTGCACATCCTTATCTAGTAGGAAGTGCTAAAATGTGGTGCTTTCAGCAATCAGTTTTTTCTGGACATCAAGAGCACTACACTACAGTACTATGCTGACCTGATATTATGCCAACATGATATTGACTCTCAACAGGTATACCTTGTCACAGGCAAGTTGTTTTTATTGTTAGCCTAACTCACAACAGCCATATGTAATGAACTGCAAACTAGACTGAAATCTACTTATAACAGTGATCCTAACATTGATAAATTTGTTTGGAAATTAGTGCAGTATATTTCTGAAATGTGCCTTTAATCCTCTTGGCAAGGGTCTAGTAAATATATCGTCAGGAGGGTGCAATTAGAACTGACATCCTGAATTCTTTCAGTTACATGGGTGACTGGTGGTAATTTTGTTAACTTTCATAGCCTTCCCTGGTTTATGCTGGTAATAACAGGCAGTAAAGTTTGGTCTTATATATTCATGTGGAATAGCTGATAGCTTCCAATCTATCTAGACAGTTCAAGGTTGCAGACATTAGAAATAGCTTAGACAAGTGATTCTCACCCAGAGTGTTGTGGCATTCTGGGTTTTAGGGTGCTGTGAGATCTTTTAAAGAGTGTTGCAAAATATTAGCACTGGTAGGTATACAAACACCTACTTATGACGCAATAGATAAAACCAGAAGCTGCATCTAGATGAGCATTGCAGACCTATGTGTGGAAAAAAAGCAGGGTGGTGCACGTGGGTGCAGCACACGCCACCCAAAACCGAAACCTGGCCCACTGGAGCCATGCTTCGGCTGCTGGCTGGGCTTCAAGATGCAGGAGCACAGCAGCTGCAGCTTCCCTGGCCCCCAGGACCCCAGGAAATCCTGGTGTAAAAAAACCCCTACACGTGAGAAAAGCAGGGCAGCACGTGTGGTGCCAGTGTGCACCACCCAGAACTGGAGCCTGGCCTGCTGGAGCCACACACAGGCTGCCAGCCAGGCTGCATGCACTGGACCATTGTTGCTGGAACTCCATGAGGCCCCCAGAATTCTGGGTAAGGCTGTTGGGGCCAGCCCAGGTGCTGGCCCCAGCCTCCACTACCCCACCCAAAGGCAGCTGCAATAAAAATGAGCATTTATGAGGCTGAAAGTCAATCTACTGAGTGATATATATTTTTGTCTTTTAATTCTAGTGGAAACAGTCATTCCTTAAGACAAAAATACCTCTTGGAACACAAGCGCCAATTAAGAAACGATTGAAAGTTAAAGAGTAAAAGTGACTAGA